GAGGGGGCGCAGAGGCGGCACTGCGGGACGGTGGACGTTGCTTCAGGAGAGAAAAAAAAAAAGAGCACACAGACACAATTAATCGTCGATCCCCCGGAACATGTTGGAAAATATGGGAAGTGGGGGGCGAAGACGAAAATCAAAAAAAAATTGGAAAACCTGGGGGATCCTTTGATTTGTGTGTATTTACTTGTGTGTCCCAGGGCCCCTTTATTGGTGCGGAACAGATGTGCAGAAAGTCCAACAGCAGGTCTTGTTCATTCTGAGCAGAGTTCGCTGTCGGCGTCGACGCGGGCGTTGTCCATCTGAGGCGGAAGGCCGCCTGCCCAGCAGCGGCCGCTCCTGCTTTGGGACAACATTTGCGGTTGGGCAAGGCGCACATGTTTTCCGTGCTATGTCGGGCGTCCAAGGAATTGGTCTCATGCGTCGTGCGACTCATGCGTCGCGGGGTACCTTCCCCGATCCTTGGGTCTCGCGCCCACGTGCCAGACCCACGGAGCCCGACATTCGATGGTATGGCGTACGCCCTTGAGGAGGGCACGGGCGCGAAAACCAGCCTCTCTGGAACGACGAGAGCGTACGGTCAGAAACGTCTGGACATGCCAGTTTTCAGCCCATCACGCTTCGGCGCGGCACGCCAAGCACGTCCCAGTCCCCAAGCGTCACCTTTCCATCTTGTCCCAGCCTCGCGTCCCGCGAGTCAGAGCGACATGCTCTGCCAGCTGGCAAGGCATGGCGTGTCGCAAGGGCCGCCGCCGCGACGCGCTCGGCAGAGGCTCATCACCGCAGACGGCAAGACCGCGGTGGCGGGCATCGGCGTCGAGAGCTGCGTGGACCAAATGTTCGACGCAGCCCGGCGAAGTTCAGGAGGAGAAAAAACACACAGACACAATTAATCGTCGACTCCCAAGAAAATATGGGAAAATATGGGCAGTGGGGGGGAAGACAGAAACCCAGAAAATATTGGAAAATATAGGGGATCCTTTTTTATTTGTGTGTATTTATTTGTGTGTCCCAGGGCCCCTTCAGAAGTGGCGGAGGTGGCGGTGGAGTCCGACGCCGTGCTGCAGCGGATCTCGAGACCGAGCTGGCGGGCGGGACGTTTCGGGCGTGCCGGCCGGGCCCGTGCGGAGGGCGGGCCGCTTGCACAGGCGCGCTGCGGCTGGGGTGGCCACCGCCCCCGGGGGCAGGGCCACGTCCTCCTCCTATCGCTATCGCTATCGCTATCGGCTCGATGTCCTGTCGGACGCAGCCGTCCGCGCGGCCGAAGCTACGCGCGCGCGCCCGAAGCGCGTAGGGGGGGCCACCCCCCGACACAGACCCCCGCCAGGAGGACAAGGGGAAAGCCGCCAAGGCTTCGCAAGGGGAGGGGCGGGGGCCGAAAAGGGCCGAGAAAAATTTGGGGGGGGGGGGCTCCCGGAGGCCAAGACAGCCCGCTGCACTTAAGGGGCCCTTAAGTGCAGCGGATCTGCTCCTCCTTCGGGGGGGTCCCCGGAGGCCAAGACAGCCCGCTGCACTTAAGGGGCCTTTAAGTGCAGCGGATCTGCTCCTCCTTCGGGGGGGCTCCCGGAGAGGCCGCATGGGGGTGGCAAGATGGAGCAGGAGGAGGGGGCTCATTAGGGCCACGTCCTCCTCCTCCTCCTCCTCCCCCTCCTCCTCCTCCTCCTCCTCCTCCTCCTCCTCCTCCTCCTCCTCCTCCTCGCGGCAGTGAGCTTCGAGGAGCGCCGACGCCAGGGCTTCACCGCCGACGCCGCCAACGCCGTGGAACGATGAACGTGGGCATGGACGTGTTCGGCGAGCGCATCACGCCGTCACCTCAGAACAAGACACGTCACGGCCTCGCAGGACCGTGGAAGGCGATACTCCTGTGGCCCCGGGGTCCGAACCTGGTGGCCTCGCGCCCTGCCATGGGGAGTGGCCAAGCCAGTGCGGTTGCCGGGTTTACCGCGCACGTCAGCGGTCGGATTAGCATTCGTCCGCGTGAATTTGCAAGAGGAATGAGGCCGCGAGGGAATCGGCATCTATACATGTCGCCAGCAAGAAGAAGGCCAGGATCGGGTGGTGCCAAAGGCTTCCCTGGCCCAAGGTGACCCCAGGATTCCCAGAAGGGGCCCAGATGGCCTCCAGATCACACGTAACGAGGCCCAGAGGGCCCACGGAGCTCAGGAACGGTGCGACAAGCTGGGGACGCCGTGCGCCAAGACTAGTACGGTCGGACCGAGGTACAAGATCGAGGTCGGTTCGGGGAGGGTACCCGAATGCTCGATGTGTTTGTTGGATGTGCTTGTGCATCTTGGGGGAGGGTACCCTCAAATGTTTTTTCCCAACCATCCTGTGGTGTTGGGTCCTCGTTTTGAAGAGACGGTGCCCCGCGTTCCTCTCCTCTCCTCTCCTCTCCTCTCCTCTCCTCTCCTCTCCTCCTCCTCCTCCTCCTCCTCCTCCTCTCCTCCCTCCTCTCCTCCTCTCCTCTTCACCCACATACAACACCCTTCGTGGCTCATAGGAGCTCACGAAGGCCCCAGGTCCCGCGCATGCGTCACCCACACCATTCCGGCACACCCCTCACACCTTCGGGCTCCATAGGGAGCTCCACCGAAGGCCCCAGTGCCCGCGCCCGCATGCGTCACCCACACCCATTTCGGCACACCCCTCACACGTTTCGTGGCTCCATAGGGAGCTCCACCGAAGGCCCCAGTGCCCGCGCCCGCATGCGTCACCCACACCCATTTCGGCACACCCCTCACACGTTTCGTGGCTCCATAGGGAGCTCCACCGAAGGCCCCAGTGCCCGCGCCCGCATGCGTCAGCCACACCCATTTCGGCACACCCCTCACACGTTTCGTGGCTCCATAGGGAGCTCCACCGAAGGCCCCAGTGCCCGCGCCCGCATGCGTCACCCACACCCATTTCGGCACACCCCTCACACGTTTCGTGGCTCCATAGGGAGCTCCACCGAAGGCCCCAGTGCCCGCGCCCGCATGCGTCACCCACACCCATTTCGGCACACCCCTCACACGTTTCGTGGCTCCATAGGGAGCTCCACCGAAGGCCCCAGTGCCCGCGCCCGCATGCGTCACCCACACCCATTTCGGCACACCCCTCACACGTTTCGTGGCTCCATAGGGAGCTCCACCGAAGGCCCCAGTGCCCGCGCCCGCATGCGTCACCCACACCCATTTCGGCACACCCCTCACACGTTTCGTGGCTCCATAGGGAGCTCCGCCGAAGGCCCCAGTGCCCGCGCCCGCATGCGTCAGCCACACCCATTTCGGCACACCCCTCACACGTTTCGTGGCTCCATAGGGAGCTCCACCGAAGGCCCCAGTGCCCGCGCCCGCATGCGTCAGCCACACCCATTTCGGCACACCCCTCACACGTTCGTGGCCCATAGGGAGCTCCACCGAAGGCCCCAGTGCCCGCGCCCGCATGCGTCACCCACACCCATGTCGGCACACCCCTCACACGTTTCGTGGCCCCATAGGGAGCTCCACCGAAGGCCCCAGTGCCCGCGCCCGCATGCGTCACCCACACCCATTTCGGCACACCCTTCACACGTTTCGTGGCCCCATAGAGAGCTGCACCGAAGGCCCCAGTGGCGGCGCTCACACGCGCATGCGTCCCGCACACCCATTTCGGCACATCCCTGACAGGTTTCGTGGCCCCATCATCCACCGGAGGCCCCAGTGGCGGCGCTTACATGCGTCACCCACACCCACCCAATTCGGCACACCCCTCACACGTTTCGTGGCCCCATAGGGAGCTCCACCGACGGCCCCAGCGGCCGCGCTCACATGCGTCCCCGCCACCCATCCCGGCACGCCCCTCACAACAACAGGTTTCGTGGCCCCATGGGGAGCTCCACCGAAGGCCCCAGTGCTGCCGCCCGCATGCGTCACCACCCGCACCCAATTCGGCACACCCCTCACACGTTTCGTGGCCCCATAGAGAGCTGCACCGAAGGCCCCAGTGGCGGCGCTCACATGCGTCCCCGCCACACATCCCAGTACACCCCTCACGCGCTTCGTGGCCCCATAGGGAGCTCCACCGAAGGCCCCAGTAGCGGCGCTTACATGCGTCTCCGCCACCCATCCCGGCCCCCCCCCCGCAGCAGCATCATGTTTCGGGGACCCATAGGGAGCTCCACTGGAGGCCCCAGTGGCGGCCCGCACATGCGTTTCCGCCACCCATGTCGGCACGCCCCGCGCGTGTTTCATGTCCCCATAGGGAGCTTCGCCGAATGCCCCAGTGGCACCCGTCTCGGCACACCCCTCACACGTTCCGTAATCCTATGGGGAGTTCCCTTGAAGATGAAACCCGCAGCTGCGGTACTGACAACTGCATATGGTTGAGTTCTTCGCCAGGCTATTTTTTCAGATTGAAGGATGCTCTTCTCTGCCCCAGGTCTGGCTGTACTAGCGACACCCGGCCAGGTGGGGCGCACCCCTCCCCCTTGTCCTCACTGGCCCGCCCGCGCGAGCCGAGTGCCAGTCCGCGTTCCTCCGAAGCCTCCTGCTGACCTGGTCCTCGTCGATGCAGGAGAGGAAGAGGAGGAGGAAGAGGAGGAGGAGGAGGAGGAGGAGGAGGAGGAGGAGGAAGAAGAGGAGAAGACTGGGGTGGGGGAGGAGCCATGGGAGGAGAAGGAGCAAGCAGGAGGAAGATCATGGAAATGACCAGCGTCGGCGTACGTCTGGTACCGCGTCGGGCACCTGCGCCCTGCTCGGGAGTCGCTAAGAAGAAGGAGGAGGAGGAGGAGTAGGAGGAGGAGGGGGAGGAGTTGGAGGAGGAGGAGGAGGAGGAGGAGGAGGTGAGCAGGTAGGTGGTACACACTCTAGAGACGCATCCCTGGCCTCAGCGTGGGAGCACGTGAAGCGACGCTGTATGGAGCCTCCAGGCTGGGGATTGGTTCCATCGGGGGCGACGCGGCCAGCTGCATCTGGCAAGAGAGCGACTTCTCACCTCCTGTGGGGCGACACGGACAGAGGTTCCCTCTCCAGCAACAGCGGCGGAAAGATTTCGAGCCAGGCGGGGCCAACGCCATCGGTGCGCACCGCACTGCGCAGAGCCGCTTGTACACTTGATGCGCCCCTGCGCTGGAAAAGGAGGAGGTGGAGGAGGAGGAGGAGGAGTTGGAGTTGGAGACGGAGGGGAAGGATGAGGAGGAGGAGGAGGAGGAGGAGGAGGAGGGAGGAGGAGGAGGAGGAGGATGGAGGAGGAGGAGGAGGAGGAGGAGCAGGAGGAGGAGGAGGCGGAGGAGGAGGAGGAGGAGGGAGGAGGAGGAGGAGGAGGAGGAGAGGAGGAGGGAGGCGGAGGAGGAGGAGGAGGAGGAGGAGGAGGAGGAGGAGGAGGAGGAGGAGGAGGAGGAGGAGGAGGAGGAGGAGGAGGTGAGGAGGAGGAGGAGGAGGAGGAGGAGGAGAGGAGGAGGAGGAGGAGGAGGAGGAGGAGGAGGAGGAGGGGGGGAGGGGGAGGAGGAGGAGGAGGAGGAGAGGGTGGAGGACAGGAGGAGGAGGAGGAGGAGGATAGGAGGAGGAGGAGGCTCCCGGCAGGAGCGCTCGCCCTGCTGCTGGGGTTCTACGCGCAGGCTGCCCCCCAGGGGGCAGGGCGGGAGCGGTGCCAGCTGGGAGGCAGGAGGGGAAGGAGCACGAGAAGGAGGACTCGACCAGGTGGGACTCGACCAATCGCGCTCGGCCGGCGCCTGGTGCCTAGAGAGAGTCGCGGTGAGTGTCGCAAGCCCTCGACCCTGACGACCACGAACAATGGCGCCCACTACGGTTAGGAACGCTTTGCCGAGCGCGTCAAGGCGCGAGTTCTGGCCCGCCACGCTTCGCCGCGACACGCTGGCCACGTCGCGGTCCCCAGGCGTCCGCGCCCCGAGCCTTTCCCGGCCTCCCGCCCCGCGGAGCGGAGCGACACGCTGTCAGCTCGCAGGAGGAGGAGGAGGAGGAGGAGGAGGAGGAGGAGGAGGAGGAGGAGCAGGAGGAGGGGGAGGAGGAGGAGGGGGAGGGGGAGAAGGAGGCACGGTCTGGAGCGTCTGCTTCGCGTGCCGCGGCGGATGCCCCAGCGATACGCCGTGCCCTGCTCAGCGGGCAGCTACACGCTAGGCAGAAGCCCCTGACCGCAAGCTGCCTGAAAAGGTGCTCTCCAACCCGTGCGGCGGGAGTGTGGCCGTTGTCGGAGCATGTGCCTCTGGGGGACACGCAGGGGCCTCGGAGTGCGAGGTCTCGCGCGTCCGGCCAGATGGGCCAGGGCGCGAAGCAAGTGCCGGCGGTGCCGAGGCCAGCGTGACGGAGCGTTCTCGCGAGTGGACCACTGCTTTTGGAACACACCGTTTTCTCAAGTGGACCATTGTTTTTTTGGAGAGCCACGACGTGGCCCACTAGCGCGCGAGGCACGCATACAGGAGGTCCTCGAAATCTCGTGTTGTGGATCGGATGTCAGCAGGGGTGGTCCAGAAGGGGGATCGCCAACGTTGTCTTGGCTCGGCCAGATGTCAGATTCGGGCGCCCACTGTCTTCGTTACGAGAAGGGGTACTGGAGTTACTCGTGACGTTGGGTGGACATCCTCGTTTTCGTCGAGTCCTGTGTGTGATACTGTTGCAGGTCTAGGCTCGTGGGTTCATGGTGGCACTAGAGTCCAGAATGCGCTCTTCTCTATTGAAGGGCACTGGCTCGGCAATCCATAGCGTTGCCACGCATATCCAGCACGGTGCTTGAAAGCTAACCGTGCAAGGCCGCAGACGCAGATCCGCTATAGGTTTGTGGGTCGAGGAATGGGGCGAAGACGAGGAGGAGGACGAGGGAGAAGACGAGGGCGAGGAGGATGAGGGGGAGGAGAGGAGGAGTAGAGGAGGAGGAGGAGGAGGAGGAGGAGGAGGAGGAGGAGGAGGAGGAGAGGACGAGGGCGAGGAGGACGAGGACAAGAACTCTGGCAGCCATCGGGGGGTCTTCTTGAGGCCCTCTTGGGGTCCTCTTGGGGCTCTCTCGGGGCCCTTTTGGGGCCCTGTCGGAGTTCTTTGGAGGGGGTCTTGGAGTCCTCTTGGGACTCGTTTGGGGGGCCTTGGGGCCATCTTGGGAGCTTCGGATGGCCTCCTGGGGCCCTTCTTAGAGGCCATGGATCACAAGGGGGGGTCCTCGATTTGCACCCCCCTCCGGGACCCTCGAAGTCGCCTCTTGGGGCGCCCTTGGGGCGTTCTTGGGCGCTCTTGGGGCCGCCTGTGGGGCCTCTTGGGCTGGTCCGCGTTGGCCGTCGCTTGTCCCAGCCGCGCAGGCGCCGCGCTGTCCCTTATAAGACTCACTTGTTGACGAGGGCAGGTAGCAGGGGATCTACCGGGCAAGCCGTGTGGGCGGGGGGGGACTTATTGGGCAGACGCTTCGGCACCCCAGGGGATGGGACGCATATTGAAAGCTTGGCGCCTTCGTAGAGTGGATTGTGCGAGCATGTGGTTCCCTGAGCGTTGCTACAGTCAAGACGCTAAAGGAAGCTCCGGTTTGGGTTCGGAAGCGGCTCGCTGTTCCTTAGGTCATTCCGTGGTTGTTCCTCTAGCCCCCCTCGTGCTATCGCCCTGGCTCGTGCCAACAAAGGCGTTTCCTACTGCAGCAGCTTGATTGTATGCGCTCTGGGGTGCCTTGAGCGCATGCGCAGGGTGCCTCCTGCTGGCCCGCCGAGGTCTGCCCAGGGCTCGCGATCAGTTTGTGCGCGCAACTCGGCGGGGCCGAGATGGGTACGGAAGCGATGGGGACGAGATCCGACAGCAGTTCGCGGCCATTCTGGACAGGAATCGCTGTCAGTGCTGTCTCGGGCGCTGTCCATTTGAGATGGAAGGCCGCCCGCCCAACGGCGGCCGCTGTCGGTGTCGGACAACAGCTGTTGTTGGGCATCGTATCCATGTTTTCCGCACCCACTTCGGACGTCCAAAAAGCACCCAGCCGATCTGTCCATAGCAGATTTCGGCTGGCGCGCGGCGGCGTGGGCGTCGCCGCGCACGCGCTCGCTCTGTGGTGGGTGGGGGGGGGCTTGACGGGGCACAGTCACGGGCTCCACGGGAGAGAGCGCAGGCCGCGATGGAGCTGAGGAGGAGCAGCCAAGCCGTCCAGATGGATAACCCGCAGGACGCGGTCGAGGCCGCGGAGCTCGGCGACGACGACGACGACGACGACGACGACGACGACGACGGCGACGGCGACGGCGACGGCGACGACGACGACGACGACGACGACGACGACGACGACGACGGCGGCGGCGGCCGTGGCGGCGGCGGCCGCGGCCGCGGCGGCATGGGCGGCATAGGGGGCGGCGGCGGCGGCATGGGCGGCGGCGGCAGTGATGAGGAGCAGAAGGAGGAGCAGGAGCGGGAGGAGGAGCGCGGGGAGGGGGAAGCGGGGGGAGGTGGCGGAGAAGGGGGGGAGGTGAGGGCAGCGGGGAAGGGGGGGGGCGCGGGGAGGGAGGAGAGAAGGAGAAGAAAGAAGGGATGAGGAGAAGGAGGAGGAGGAGCAGGAGCAGGAGCAGGAGCAGGAGCAGGAGGAGGAGGAGGAGGAGCGCCAACGATGCTGCAATACACCCTCCCGTCCCAAGTCATCTCGTGAGTCCCTACGCTGTTGCTGCTTCACCAGAGCAATCTCCCCCCTCCCGCCCTGGAGGACCAGCATCCTATGAACATACAATTCAGGCAGGAGCTCCGGTTTGGAAAGGGTTGCATTGCACCTCTCCCGCGCGAGAAATAGGAATGCGAGAAGGTATGATCAGATTTTTCAGCAAGGTGTGCAGCGTGAAATCCCAACTTTGGCACAGTTCCGCTACCCATTCGTATAAGTAGCACGCAAGCCTGCAACATTGGCCATGAGCTTCGAAGAAGTCTGAAGCCAGAGCCCCGTTTCAAAAAGAAATCGCCCTCCATCGGTGCAGCTGTTGCACATGGCTAAGCTCCTTGTGAGCCAATTCAGGGAACTCAATTGGACGCCTTGCTTTGAAAGTACACACCGTCCATCCGCATCACTGGTGCAGTTGCTATCGACGAGTCCGCGCAGCACTAGGGCTGGAGCCATATCTTGATAAGGAGCAGCCCTCGATCCTTGTAACTGCTGCCGAATGCTTAGACGAATGCGTGCGGCGCCAAGGCGGGAGCTCCATTTAAAGACCCCCTTTCTATCCTTATACTGACGCATGCGTTTAAGGCGCTGATGCGAGAACCAAATTTTGAAAACGACTGATGTTGCTGTAAACTTGTAAGGCGAATGCGCGCGACGCTAAGACGAAAGCCCCATCGTGAAAACGCCCCCCCCCCCACGCTCCACCCATGCAATTCTTGCAATTGTCACGCTTCAGGATCACAGGTGGTGAGACAGGAACGTGTGAAACGTCTGACGCGCCCTGCGGACACGTCTGGGGGCGCGACAGGGAAGAATGATCGACATGGAGAAGGGTTGGAGAGGGTGACGAGGAGGAGGAGGAGGAGGAGGAGGAGGAGGAGGAGGAGGAGGAGGAGGAGGAGGAGGAGGAGGGAGGAGGAAAAAGAAGAGGAGATGGAGGAGGAGGAACAAGTAGCAGGATAAGGAGGATAGGATAGGACGAGTGGAAATGAGAAGGCGAGATGAGCAGGATGATGAGCAGGCGGAAAAGACGACGACAGCGACGACCACGATGCCGACGAGCCCCGAGTGGACGAAGAGCTGGAGCGGGAGCAGGGGGAGGAATCACAGGGAGGAGGAAGAGCAGCAATGGAAGGTAGGAAGAGGAGGATGGAGGAGAAGGAAGCGAGGGGGGGAAGGAGGATGGGAGGGAGGTGAAGGAGGTCGAGGAGGCAGAGCAGCAGAAGGAGGAGTAGGAGCAGGAGGCCGGAAGTCGGGGCTGTCTCTACGTCTCGATCTGGCGTGTGATTTTTGCCCGACGACGTCGGGTGGGCCACCTCGCTGGTCGCCCATCGGTCGCTCCTCCGTGTGAGGACACCCCGCTTCCCCATCGCTTCACCTCGGCTTGTCTCCTCCCCTGGCTGTACCAGCCCTGGCAGTCAAGGGAAGATTCATGAGGAGGAGGAGGAGGAGGAGGAGGAGGAGGAAGAGGAGGAGGAGGAGGAGGAGGAGGAGGAGGAGGAGGAGGAGGAGGGAAGGGGGGCAGGGGGGAGGCGGGAGCAGCGGAAGAAGTGCCCATCCACTACGACCACCCATCTGGCCGTTTGGTTTCTGGCTCGCACGGGCTCTGTAGAGCCGTGGTCTCCCGCAGCGGGTCGTGGTGTTTCTTGGTCGTGCTTCGTACGGCGATCCAGTAAGTTCTCGTCCCCCCCATTGCCTGCACGCCTTCCCCCCAAGTTCGACTCCGACGAGCAGGAGGAGCTGGTCTTCGGATTGCTGACCCCGGAGGCTGCCGGGATACAGGAGCCACGAAGTGTCGGCGCGAAACCAAGTGAGATGATGGAGTAGTCACGTCAAATAAGAATCTGGCTTGCCAACAGGTGCCCCACCGAAATTCATGATCCCCTGGTGGCCCCAGGGACCAACAAAAGCTCTGGGTCACCTTTAGGACTCTCCAAGATCAATGAAAAGTGTACCCCAAGATCCCGTATAGCAAAAAGTCGTTTCCGATGTGTCGACTACACGCATGATCTTGCGCGCACTGCATTGCACCGTACATATATGTATAAATTGAGTTAGATATATGCGAGAACGGTGGCAAATATAGTTATATATATATATGTGTATATATAAATATTGATTATAGATAGATAGATAGATAGATAGATAGATAGATAGATCGGAGGTGAGGGGGTGAGATCGAAGTGGAACGGAGAGCCCCCCTACCAGGACATCGATTTCAGTTTCGTGTTCGTGCGTGCCGTCCGTGCGGGCGAGGCGGAGCTGCGTGGGCGGGCGAGAGGGAAGTCTCCTGTGGCTGAGGCGCGGCCGGACCAGTTGATTCCCTTCCGGCAACGGGTGGCGCGCGGTGTCCCCCGCCAGTGTCCCGCTGTGGCTGAGGCGCGGCCGCACCAAATGATTCCCATCCGGCAACCGGTGGCGCGCGGTGTCCCGCCGGTGTCCCGCCGGTGTCCCGTCGGTGTCCCGATGATGACGGTGATTATGATGATGATGATGATGATGACGACGACGATGATGATGATGGTGATGATGGTGATGATGGTGATGATAATGATGATGACGATGATGATGATGATGGTGATGATGGTGATGATGGTGATGATGGTGATGATGGTGATAAAGGTGATGATGGTGATGATGATGATGGTGATGATGGTGATGATGGCGATGATGGTGATGATGGTGATAATGATGGTGGTGGTGATGATGATGATGACGTTGATGATGATGATGGTGATGATGATGATGACGTTGATGATGATGATGATGATGATGATGATGATGACGTCGATTGTGAGATCGATTGTGAGATCGATAGTGAGATCGATAGTGAGACCGAATGAGAGATCCAATGTGAGATCGATAGTGAGATCGATTGTGAGATCGATCGTCAGATCGATTGTGAGGTCGATCGAACGAGATCGATAGTGAGACCTGGTGTCCCGTCGGTGTCCCGATGATGACAGTGTTGGTTATGATGGTGATGATGGTGATGATGATGATGACGATGATGATGATGATGGTGATGAAGGTGATGATGGTGATGATAATGATGATGGTGATGATGGCGATGATGGCGATGATGGTAATGATGGTGATAATGATGGTGGTGGTGATGATGATGATGACGTTGATGATGATGATGATGATGGTGATGATGATGCTGACGTTGATGATGATGATGATGATGATGATGATGATGATGATGACGACGTCGATTGTGAGATCGATTGTGAGATCGATAGTGAGATCGATAGTGAGACCGAATGAGAGATCCAATGTGAGATCGATAGTGAGATCGATTGTGAGATCGATCGTCAGATCGATTGTGAGGTCGATCGAACGAGATCGATAGTGAGACCTGGTGTCCCGTCGGTGTCCCGATGATGACAGTGATGGTTATGATGGTGATGATGGTGATGATGATGACGATGATGATGATGGTGATGATGGTGATGATAATGATGATGATGACGATGATGATGTTGTCGATGACGTTGATGACGATGATGTTGTTGATGATGATGACGTCGATTGTGAGATCGATTTTGAGATCGATTGTGAGATCTACAGTGAGACCGAATGTGAGATCGATTGTGAGATCGATAGTGAGATCGATTTTGAGATCGATTATGAGATCGATCGTCAGATCGATTGTGAGATCGATCGAATGAAATAGATTGAGTGAGATCGATCGAGTGAGAACGATCGAGCGAGACCGATTGTGAGATCGATAGTGAGATCGATCGTGAGACCGATCGAGTGAGACGTTGGTCCCCCCCCGAACCTCCTTATCACCCGAAGGGTGGTCTTATAGGTAGATAGATATATAACTATGAGTCGCTGTGCCCTTTGTCGCCTCCTCCTCGTCCTCCCCTCCTCCTCCTCCTCCTCCTCCTCCTCCTCCTCCTCCTCCTCCTCCTCCTCCTCCTCCTCCCCCCTCCTCCTCCTCCTCCTCCTCCTCCTCGTCCTCCTCCTCATCCTCATCCTCATCCTCCTTCCCCTCCTCCTCCTCCTCCGCCTCCTCCTCCTCCTCATTCTCCTCCTCCCTACTCAGTGAACCATACTGAGGCTATATTGGGGCCGACGGGCCCTCTTGGATAGTTGCAGGGCCACACCGTACGCTGACAACATGCTGCACCACTTGGCGTTTGCCACAGCGGGTGTCGCATTTGCCAGTCGTGGTTGTTGTGCACTTCCCCGCGCTTCCAATTTCAGATTGGTTACGGTCCAGGGTCGCCGAACTTGTGCGGTGGTGCAACATCTAGCCAGACGCCCAGAAGATGCCCACATCTTCCCGTCCACCTTCCAGCCAGTCTTAAATTGGCACGGTGGGGGAGAATGCAGAGGCATGCGTGCGAAGACCAGCCAAAGTTGGTGCAGCAATGCGTCGACGTACGATACCAGGACCGATGGGGCATATTGGAGCTTGCGGGTGCCTCTATGCCTATTGGGGGGGTAATGTTGGCCTTCGCGGGCCATAGGTGTTGATCTAGCGGGGTTCTCGGGTGCACCTTGGGGATGGCGTTGGCGACATCGGGCTTCTGATTTTTATATCTTGTAGCAAAACTGCCACTTCTTGCGACGAAGCAAGCAGCACATCAGAAGCATGGGAAGTCAAATGATCTAACAAATCTGTTCACTCGGTGGCCTCCTGAGTCTTTCTTGGAGGGTTCTTGGGGCCCTCCCTCTTGAGCTGTCTTCGAGACATCTGGGGGCTATATTGAACAGTATTGAACTCTTCGGACCATCGGTGGCCTCACATTGAGGCAGATTGGGTTATATAGTTTTGTCTTGGCCGTTTACTCGCGTTCGCACGGGATGTTGTTTTGTCTTTCATGTTTGACGTTGTTACCCGTGCAGCAGCCATCAGGACCGAATTCGGGGGGCAGGAAGCAGGACAAGGAATAGAAGACGGGGCACACGCGACACTGAGCGCCAGTTCTCGCAGCCTGGTGGCCCCAGAAAGGGCGAGCGGGCACCAAATGACAGATAGACCTTTGTCATGATCAATTAAACTTACGCCCATCCAACCAGAAGGCGTCAGACTCCCCCCAACGAAAAAGTGTCGGGCTTGAGGGCATGCGCGTTCCAACGAGTTGTCTCATGTGCCCATGTTTCGGAATGTCCCCCCACTGGAAACTAACGGGCCTAGCGGCGACTTCGGGTTGAGTTGGGGGTGGTTTGGTAGGTAGTCAGTTTGCCTCTGATCAGACTGGCAAGCACGCAGTGCACACACCCGTCCAGGCGTTTTGTTTTCACTGGCCTTTGCCCGGCTTGCGGGCCCAAGACTCTCGCCAGGCTTTGGCTGCTGTGCCTTGCGGCCAAAGCCCCGAAGGGGCACAGGAGAATCGACAATCGACGGCTTGAGCAGAACAAGAACATACATAAAGATCTCGATCTAGGTGCATGTATATATATATATATACATACATACATGCATGCACACGTACATACATACATACGCACGTATATGCATACATGCACAGCTGCACACATGCATACATGCATACGTATACATGTGCATGTAAAAGAATACGTACATAAACAGCTGCCTTCATGCATACATACAGACTTACAATCATAAGTACATGCGTACATACATACACACATACATACATACATGCATGCATCCGTTCATACATACAGACAGACATAGTTGCATGCATACCTGTCTGCATGTATACATGCACATATGCATGCATATATGCATACACATATATATACACATACATACATACATACACATACACATCTAGATGTCTATATCGATACACATGTGTATCTGCGCATACATATTCAAACACATGCAATTATACATCCGCATAACCATATACAGGTGTGTTTGCATATATAGATATATATGATTCATATATACATATATATATATATACAAATATATGTGTACACATTGTATTGGCCTCTGGCCAGTGCCGCCGATCCGGGACGCTTCCGTTGCTGCCGGAAGCGCACGATGGTGATCATCACCGGCGATGACGGCGAACGGCGAGGATGATAATCAGGATTGGGAATGGAGGCAACGGAGTAGGAGGAGGAGGAGGAGGAGGACGAAGAGGATCATAATGAGGTGGAGAGGGGCGGAGGGGGGAGGGGCAGGAGTTGCAGGATGCTGAGGATGAGGAGGAGCAGGAGGAAGCGGGAAGTGGAAGAGGGGGGAGAAGGAAACATGACGAGGATGAGAAGATTTTCGGCGGTTGTTGGAGATGGTCGGCGGTTGTTGGAAAGCTTCTTTGGGGCCAGGTGTTGACCCTCTTTGGGTTGACGCCTCGCCGCTTTGGTGCACTCTCTGAAAAGCTTTGTGCTAGAGCTGTCTGCGACACAGTTATTTGTGGAGCCTTGTGCACCACCGGCCTCTGCTGGTAGCCATGGTGTTTCGGGGGGTATATGGGGCCTCGGCGCGGCCCTCTGCGGGCCCTTGTGAGATCATGGGCGCGAAGGACACCGAAGACGGGAGAAGATGCGAAGGCGTGGAAGAACGTTTTGTATTGCAACGTTTGTATTCAGACGCAGGCGTCGTGGAAGCATTGGGGCCGGTTTGGGGCTTCTCGGGGGGAATCTTGGTTGCAGCCTGGAGGCCTGTAGAAGGCGTCTTGGATGCATGTTCTGAAACTCTTGGAGGCCCTTCGGGCGTTTTTTCAGGGGGGTCGCGGATGGGTCGCGGGGCGGGTCGCGGATGGGTCGCGGGGCGGGTCGCGGGTGGGTCGCGGGGTGGGTCGCGGGTGGGTCACAGGGTGGGTCGCGGGTGGGTCGCGGATTAAATCGCGGGCTGGGTCGCGGGGTGGGTCGCGAGTGGGTCGTGGGTGGGA